TTTTTTGAGTGAAATTATGGTAAGTTTTGTGAGAAATTTGAGTGAAGTTTGAGTCCATGTATTAATTGTTGGCAAATATGTATAGAATTAAGGTTTGTATGCATTGTATGAATGGGTTGTCGAGTCTGTGATGAGACCATTGACTCATGTATTGTCTTATTGTCGCAGAATGTCATGATTGGTGTGACGAGTGGTGCAATGGATGCCATTCTCGGACTCTTCGCCATCAGGAGAGTGATTGTGGACGAGAGGAATGCCAAGAATGCCTCCAATATCATGAAACGCATCTTCGAGTGCATTGTCCTCAACGGATGTGTCTTTTTGGTCAGTCTTTGTCATCACTTATACTAACCGCACACTTATCTGTTCATAGATAAGATCCCTCCAAGAAATAGACATTTAGTTTGTACCGTAGATATGGTTATCATGTTTAGTGGTCATCAATGATGCGATGACTGTCATCGTTGGCTCACTCTATGATAATCCTATCATTTGTTAGATTTTGTTGACATCTTAATTGAGTTACAATTATAAGTGCCTTCAAGTCATTCATCAGAAAGTTTTGTCGCAATTAATTTCATGTCTTTTATGTCAATCAGTGCTCTATTTTGCTCTTCAATTACGTGATTCTGGGATGTCTTCACTCATTCATACAATTCATATTTGGATCTCAAGACGGCGTCGTATCGATGACATGGTTTTGGTTGGAACCGACGCTCTCCTACTTCTTCTCAGTCTTCTGGGTTTTGCCTCTATTTCTGTTGAGTCGTGTCGTCAATGCCTTATGGTTTCAGGTATTGATTGAATCCATTGAAAACACTTCTAACGCGTGATCTCTTGACAGGACATCGCAGATAATGCGTTCAGAGGTAGACATCAAAACATGAGGAATATTCCGGTTATAATCGCCGACACACTCTTCAGTCTCTTAACTCAAATCCTGTTTCTAATTCAGGTATTGAACTCATAAAACAACTTTTGAATGTCTTGAATAACATATACTATAAATTGAATTCTAGTCAATGGTTGTGGAGTTTATTCCGATCCCACTATTGGGACAAATGGCGAGTCTTTTCCACATCAGTCTTTTGTATTCTTTGTACTCATTTGAATACAAGTGGTTTAATATGGGTTTGTATGCAAAATGTGTGTCAAATGGTTTGTCTTAATACTAACCAAACATTTGGTCTCAAAGGTTGGGAATTACATCGAAGACTTCACTTCATCGAAAACAATTGGACCTATTTTTTAGGGTTTGGATTGCCGTTGGCTTTCGTCACATACGTGATCCCTAATTACCTCTTAAGTGGAGCCATATTTTCTATATTTTTCCCGCTATTTATCATCAGTGCTAATGAGGCCCGACCTCGAGTGGACGCCGGGTCTGTCATTTCATTGCTTACAAACACTACTGTATTTGTAAAACTAATTCAATTCTTATGTCTTGCAGTAATATTCAGATCAAAATCTTTTCGCCAGTGGTTTGGCTCTCAAATAAAATACTTTTCTTAATTTTTAATCGAAACCAAAGGTAACAAAACAAATGAATCGATTGAATAGAATTTTCTATAATACCATAAAAGCTTGTCTCAAATTGTTTTGATAGTTAGGCATTTAGTTGTTGTTTATTTTGAAATACGGTATTCAAATATTGAAAATCTGTAAGAGATTACTGTTAAAATGAAATATCAAATGAAATACAGTATGTCCTGAATTATAATCAATTCAGGAATTCATGTAATACTGTATTATTTGTTGTTAAAATTTAATGAAATAAAGTTTGTTTTGTTTGTAAATAAACTCTAATTAATGCAAGAATTTATTATTACAAGCGATTTTACAAGTAATTATGTAAATTAAAGTCAAATTGATAACAACTTAAAATTTCATATGAATGTTTCAAAAATGTTTCATTAATTCGTTAATAAATCTAATTATAAACAAAGTTTGAAATTAAAATACTATTGATATGAAGAAAATTGCACTAAAATTGAAAACCTTTAATTCATTGAATTGAATGCAAAGGCATTTGAAAAGTTGTTTTCTCTTAAAACGACATAATATCTCGAAATGTGATAAAAATTTAGACAATAAATGAATATTTGAAAAGTCGTTTAATTACTAACTAATTTGCAGAATGTTTTCCATAAAACAAGACTAGATTTCACTTAAAAAATATTTTACAATAAAATTATAGATTTTATATATCATATTTGTATACAAACTGCCAAATAATCTGTTATATGCGATAAACTGATAAAATTTGTAATAATTTTATTCATCGAATTGTTAGACAACTGAATTGTTGGACAAAATGTGAAAACTGATCGCTGAAAAAAGCTAAGAAATCGTAATCAGGATATAGAAAACAAACGACAAACGCGTAAAAGTGTTGTTTATTGTGTCAAATCTCAGACTCTGATTATTGCTTTAATCAAACAATCGTTCGGTTTGAATGTCATTAATAGTTATGTTTGAGGTCTTGTGAAGTGATTTATAGCATACGTGAAAATAAATGAAATGTAGTTATAATATAATACAACTTTGTTTCACTCGTGATTATTAAGAGAACAGAATTTGTAGAATTGTTTTAATATTAATAACTAATTCAATGAGCAATCAATGCAATGCCGTTTCCAAGACATAAACCATTACTTCTTAGTTAATGACAACATATTGTTGCAAATGAGGGCTAATGTGTGGTTTCGTAACTAAATTATGAATACAATTACATCTGCATATAATAGAGCCGAGGTGAATTCAATCTATTAATAGTTGACTGCCCATTAGTGTCTGTATTACAGCTATTAATTAATACAAATGAAGTAATGAATGGTAAACAGCGCTGCCATACAATCATTTAAAGATTTATAGATAAGTTGTGTGTATAGGCTATCAAAATGATACCAAACAATAACTCATAACAGATATAAATTGCAAAATAAATGCTTAAAACTAAGTGATATTAATAATTGGATGTATAGTAGGCTTAAGAAGTTAAACCAAATCTCATAGCAATTCGCTTAATACGAATGGAATTGCATTTAATGTTTGAATCAGTGATGAGTGCATTAAAACAATTTAAACTCAATTTGAAAACCAAATTAACTGTACGAATGGTTTCTATTGAAATAAAACTATAATAAAATGTCTATAAATCAAAACCTAATCTAAAATTATATAATTATATATATTAATTAACACTAAAAGCCGTCGATTAACAGTTCGAAATGAACGCTACCCTCCCTGTCCATCCGGTCGTGTTTGATATTCTTAGCCCAAGCCTTACACTCAATGTTTATTAACACTCCGGGAGTGGGCTTCAAGAAGTGGATGAACACAAATGGCGACAGATATCCGGGTTGGTTAGTGAACGGGAAGTACTTGAAGTCGATGCCGTTCTGTGGGTAGTAGTTAATGGGGCCGATGTTCTCCTTGTCCGCCGCGTTCTACACATCAGTACAACATAACCGCTATTATAATCACAGTCAATGAGATCACACATCACTGTCCACTCACCTCTCCCTCGCATGTGATGTACACAATTCGTGAGCTGTTGTGGGCGTAACCACTCCTCACCACATCAGGAATGCCTTGATTGGTGGCCAAGTCGTCCTGTGTGTAGGGCTCGGGCTTCCAGTTGTATATCTACCACAATAACCATCAGTATTACAATCATTGCTTACAATTCATGAACACATGGATTCATTACTCGATTCAGTTTAATGAGAACACAGGGATCACCCCTTTTGTAGCCGAAGTCCTGGCCTTTGGTGCAGTTGTTGTGGATTTTCTTAATATCAAAATAGCAGAACTTCTCGTCGGTGGGGCCCTTGTCGTTGTCGCACTGGTCGATGTGGGCGCCCCTATCGGCGCTGTTCTCATTGGCCTTTTCATAGGCTGTGAACGAGAATTAAATAATTGATTAGTTGTTGCCTTTAGTGTCAATCAGTTGTCAACCGCAGGATCGATAATAGTATGCAATTCGACATACGCTCCAAAAACTTATTCAGATTATCGCTCCAATGCTTCCAATTGTGTTCATTGTGTCCCTGTTTGAACCAAATCAGAGTACTCTCCACATTCTCCTCACGAGGTCGTGGTCTGAATCCCAGTCCTAAGCACAACCACATTAGTCATGACCAACTCATGGGTGATGTATGGCTGAGTGATACCTGGGTTGGAACCGATGCGACTGTCGCCCAACTGCCACTTCGGCACGCGTTGATCGATGGTTTGGTAGAAGAAATCATTGTAATCGCGGGTTTTCCGGCGGTTTGTATTCATCTTCTAATACATTTTATAGTCCTAAAAGTGACGTTAAGTTACGTTTGTTTCAGTGGTAATTAAAATGTTAGTAAAGTTTCCAAACCATAAAAAATAGTTTTTCTATTCAATTGAGTAATAAATGCTATTTTATTGCAATTCATGCGAAGACTCATTTGCTTTAATCTCTAATTTAATGACTTTTTATTTAAATTAATTATACTTTCATTCATTTCAAGGCAAGTGTTGTAACGAATGTCTAATCATTAATAAGTTATCATAAAATAAATGAAATTATTATTAGTATATAACACATAAACATGTATTCAATGACTGATCCCATAGTGAGTCCTATTATAACCTCATTATAGACCTCAACAGCGGCTATACATCCACTCATTCATCACCCATTGCTTCCCATCACTGGCTATTGGATCGCATGAGTGGTGAATGAGTGGTAATGTGTGGATAATAGCGGCAAACCTATGGCTCATAGCATAGCAAAGACTCATTGAATGGCAGAATGAATGGTAAAGTGAGTGATACTGACGCCATGAACTGCCAGTCCGGCCGCAGAACTCTTACCAGGAGCCCAAGGTGTTCTTGACTTGCTACCTAAGTCACCAGCTGTCGAAGAGGAGCCGAAACTTCTTTAACCAGAGGAAAAGTCGGTAAAACAGTTGTGAAGCTGATAGCTACCATAGTTACCTTTCACTTCAACACAAACTCTATGCAAACAATCACTCAATGCTTGCGATGTCTGTAATGTCTGTAATGTCTGTCTTTGACTGCACTCTCTCTGCCTGAACGTCACACCCCATCAGCCAATCACAGCACCCGTCCAGCCATACGTCACTCACTGTCTAAGCCTTCATATAATGAATAGACGATTGAATTGCAATCAAAACACTGTTTCAATCTTAACTTCGGTTAACATACGTTTACTCTCAGGCAACTGTTGGGTAATGTTGTGTAAGTGGTGTGTAAGTGACGTTGGGTTATGATCGAGACAGACATCACAGGCGTGTTTGGAGATACGTGAGTGACTATGTGATGTATGTGTGCTATAACTGCATTGGACTGTATTGTGCGCTACTATTGGGCTCTCATTTGTGTGAAGCAATTCACATCAAATCGCATTCAAATCTATTGCACTAATCGTAATCATATTATAGTTATATTATAGTTAGTATTACCGTAATAATGAGCTAATTATAGGCTGTCTATAGCCATGTATGTCCTCCAAAGACCACTCTCTCAATACATTGAAACAACTTTATATTCATTTGTTAGAAAAGTTTGTAAAAATATAAAGAATATAAGAATAATATGGGAAGGGATGGGATGGGAGGTATGGGATGGGAGGCACACATACGAGCACTGAATTGAAGAGGGGGTCATAATATGATATACAGTATTAGAGTACTATATCATAGAATACCTGCAGTTCAATAGGAAATACAGTTATAATGATCAGTAATATTGAAATACTATATTCAAGTGAATCAATTGTCGAAATATTTGCTCATTAGTGATAAATTGTTGATTGATACTAATAATTAAGTGTTTCAATAATTAACTTGATATAATATTTAGTTCGTATCAACTATTTTATCAAATTTGGTAACTTTTGAACTTTTTAAACATTTGTGATAACAATCTGTGCAACTATTTATATACAGACATATAAATGATATTTATTCTAAAAAGTAATTTATATATATTTGGTGTAAATTTTGATTAGTTGTACTTTAGAGCAGAGATTGTGGTTTAAATTATTGTACAAATTTTTCATACGTGTATATTATTATACAATAAAAATTTTATTTATTTTTGACAACTCATGTAGCACTGATACTTTTATGAACACATTTATAATAGAATACAAATTACTAAAATTGTTTTCATATATTAAAATAATTGAATTAATAAAATTGTAACCGTATCTAAATACTTAACTTGATATATTGTATTTAAATATAATTTTGTATGGATTTAAATCTTATAAAATGTATAATGAAATGAATGTATGATATGATGGGTTGAGTTAACAGTGAGACTGAATGGGATGTGATAGACACCGATTCCGTCACAAATGTCATTCCCAATAGACCTGTCATTTGTATGCAAACTATTCAATCATTGCATACACTGTATGCCATACAATCAGTTATTTGCTCTAAACAATAATTCTGATATATTTAATTAATATAAGTGCAAAACATAACTACAGTATTAATAAAAGTGTTGTCAATATTGAGAACAGAATTTGAATCATTTTGAAAGGATGTCTGATTTGATATAAAAACCAAGTTGTAGTGATTTTATGAAATGATAGGCTTTGAAATTCAAGAATTTGCTAACAAATGACTTTTCATTTGATAGACACTAACTTTAGATATGTTCACACATTGTGTGCTTATATTGTTTCAAAAGCAATTCACACGAATATATTTGAAATGCATTTATCACTAGTTTTCCAGTCGTGTCATGCAATGAGTATTCCTTTTAAGTTTCATATGATATGCAGTTTACCTCCAAATAATCAAAGGGGTGGACAATGTTTACCGTTATATCTCTACTTTATTTCATTATTCTACATATTTCTTGTTTATTCTAATCTAATGATAATCTACAGTCAAAATAATAGTTTCCTAATAATTGACATTTCAGATCATAATGTATAAATTTGGCATAATTGTGTGCCTAATGTTGTTAATTTAATTTACAAAACAATAAAAGCGTCACTTAAATGAATTCAACATTTACCATAAATTCAATATAATTGCAATCATATAAGAGAAATATAACTCAAATGAATGGTATGAAAGCATTCTTTTGAAATGAACACCACTTTTATGATAATTGGTGTGAAATTATGTTGAGATAACCTCTTACGGAACTTACGTCAAACGGATTGCACATTGAATTTAAGGAGTAAACATTTCACTAATTATTATTAATACAACTTAAATAAGTTTTATTTAATTTATGTCAAATAAATAGATTTTATGATGAAATTGGTAAATCCTCAACTTCCAAACAACATCTCATGTCATATGATATGATAATAAAGTATAATAAAGTATTAGATATAATATAATTGTACAAATATATGATGGAAAAGTGACCAAGTAGACGTTTTTCATTAATAAAAATGTTGAATGACTGAACTGTTATCATA